TTACAACAGCCAATTTGACCTGAAGACTGTTGTTTTATGGTTATGTAAGGGTCGATTTTTCACGTCACGAGAAGTGCATTTGCACTTCAGTCTTTGGTAATGATCCAAGGGGTAACTTCATTCCATGGTGTTGGTAATGTTTTTTTTTTCACATTTCTTACAATAGTGGTTCTATTTCACGTCTCCTATAAGCTAGCTGCTATCAGAGAAGAGGAATCAGTCCAGGGTACAGACATTCGGGAAATAAATCTGTCCGGCGGCTGGATATATATGTAGGTCTTATCAGATACCGACGCAGTGCTTCGCCTTTATCTAACTGTCAACAATTCTTTTTACCTACAAGAGAATCTACTTAGCTTGTCCGGTTTCCGCCTGTAGTTACAGACACCGTAGCCGACATTTGTAACACGAGAATGACGCATGTATGAAGCGAGCAAAGCATCTGATAACCCAGAGATCCATTTTCCCCCTCTGGGATGTAGTCTGAGGTACAGGAAAAGATTTTCATCTTAGCAGGTCGATGGATCGAACCGTAGGCTCAACCCGGCATTGAACCGACATTGCTGCAACTCCGCGCGGGTGGATTTACTCACCCTGTCAACAAACACCACATCCACTGTCCATAATGGCGTTCAAGGAATTTCTGTGTCAATCCTTCGATGTTTAAGATACGGGTGTCGAAAGTTTACCTTGACATCAGTGCACAGATGAGCACCAGGCTTTGGGATATTACCAAGAACTTTGCGTGAGTGGAATAGTTAATATTGTTTAGTAGCCTCTGGAGCAAAGAGAGCGCCCAAGGGGCCATGTCCTGAGCATTGGCCTGAGCGAATCATCATCATCGTCAAGTAGGGCGTTGCCCAGTTGACCCTCTCCCCCAAGACGGAATAATTAGAATAAATAGTCTCATATTACACTATAATGGCGATATGTTTACATTTGAGGCATTTTCGGACTGCAACTCGTACCTTGCAAGAAACAATACATGAAGTATCATCAGTCTTCTATCTCCTTTGTATCGATCATAGCATGTATATTGGCTAATTATGGTTAACATTTGGACCAGGACCAGGAATGTATTTTTTTCTTTCAGCTTTGACAAGTAGACTCTAATCACGTCGTTACCTTAGGGACGATAGGTAAAAAGTTTATCAATTTTCCACGTTCTGAGTTGCAAGCAGAAACGCGCGGATCAATAATTACATTAGTGCCACGGACTTGACCCTAAACTGGATCAAACCTAATCCAATTATGTTCTCCAATGACGGTGATTAATTGGACTGTGCTGTAAGTATCCAGCTTCCAATAACCCCCTACAGACGCACGCACACACAGCACACACTCACACACTCACACACGCGCGCGCACACACACACACACACACACACACTCACGAGGATACTTCAGGAAACAATGCTGTTATTAGTTAGCCTGTTTTAAAATGTATCTATGTAAATATTTTATCATTAGAGGTTTAAAAGAGTACTGAAATAATCCATCCCCTCAAAAGTAAAGTAGTCCCATGGCCTTGTTGAGGCCGAAGCGGTTGTTATCTCCTTCTACCACCTTTTACCTCTCCAACCAAAGGCAGGTAACCATTTTTACACCAGGAAATGTCGTGGAAAGTACTTTCCCAAAGGAACAAGTTCGGTGTACAGGATTCGTACCGAGGACGTCTGGGTTCTTTCACACTACCCCAGAAGGCGTTCGTATATACTGCCCACCTGCAAAGTCCAAACCAAGCCCAAAGGCAATAAGATTTTGGAATCTTCATAGAGCTTCAGGCATTCAGGGCAAAGAGTGTTAAGATCTCGTGGAATAAAGACATCCGTCATCGCGGCGACAGTGCTGGAGGCGACATCTTGCGGATGGCTTAAAGATGCAGATGACACCTGTTACTACTACTTTGTGTTTCCTGTATTCACATCTCCTTACGCGACTGTCCATTTGCAGACACATCCTACAAAGTCTGAAATGTAGGGGTGTTTAATAGCAATCGTATATGATATCAAGTTCTTCTATGATATCTGTATGCACAGATATCATTTAAGACTGTCCTGCTGTGTTAAGCCTTTTTGGATGTACCGATGTGTAACGACCAGTGTGCCTTAGTACTAATATGGGGTGCAACATGGAGTGGTCTTTGGCTGAGATTAAGCTTAAGCTTTGTTTTCTATTCAGTTCTGAGTTCAGGCCAGTAAAAACAGTCAGTGATCTGTTGACATCAGAGAAAGTGAAGTATACAATGTCTGACGGCACACAGGACAAGCTAACACTTCTGGAGCACACTAGAGTAAAACACTATATCTGTGACCGCCAAGGTGTCTGCCTGTATGATTTAATTGGATGACCCAAGACCCCATTATCGCTGTCACACCCAGTGTGTGGGTAGATAAGTCGTCTCCAGGATTAGAGGTCGGGCACTTGGCGCCCTGCTTTTCTAGATAACAGTCCAGTCTTTTCTATCATATCCCGATCATACAACGTGTATTGAGCCGAGCATAATGCCGACTGCTTGTCATTCCGCGAGGTTGCTGAGTGTGGGAGGACCAGATGGAAGTGTCTTGTCTCATTCCGTACAAAATTGCTGTACTTTGTTCCCACGAGGCCACACTGCTTCAGAGAAGAACTCATGCATATATAGGTGTCTATAAACACCACTGATTTATTACTATCATAATAAGATTGTCTTGCTTTTTGTACACTGGACCTTAGTGAATGCATAAGCAAAAGTCTGCTTTCCTGCATCACAACTTAGTAATTCCTTGACTACCCCTGCTACATCCCCTGCCTATGAGCACATATTTTTCAGAATCCTTTGTAGTATCAGGACTATGTCAAATGCTGCGAGAGCCGGTCGTTTCTATTTTTCAGAATGAAGAATAGGTACTGTACCTAATCAATTACAGATACATGTGTCTCATATTTTACATCGAAACACATTTGAGATCAGCCCAATAGATTATGATACACGGCTCACTGTAGCTTTGACTAACTGGTCTCACTAGATATGAAGTTAGGGATATTCTCCAAAGGCCTTGTGGTACGGTACCACACCGTATGATTGGATTGTGCAGAGGAATAGTGTCCTGTCCGGTAGAGTCATACTGGGCAAAGTATTATCGAACCAGGAAAGAAGGTAAGAGACAGGTGTCACACTACAGCCTACATCCTGTAGGGTGTGGTGTTTAACAGATCGAAAAACCAAAGGGTCATTCAAAAGAAGTCTCCCCTTTGGTAAACTGTTCCCTACGTGGGGAGGGGGGCACCGTGCGCGTTCTACGGTAATTTAGGCTTAAAACATAGGAACTGATTATAAGATACAATTAAAAGCCCTAAACGCACATTTCTAGGCCTCACCTTTGGACAGAACCGTACGTTTACTGTCGGTTTTTACGCCAAAACGGACATTTGTCAACTTGCAATTGTGACACAGTGTCAGGAGAAATTCCCGCCGCGCTGTCATATTCACCTTTGACCTGACCCCTGGACTGATAGAGGTCACACAACCTGCACCTGATTACCCAATAACGTATCATTTCTCTAAGGTTAAAGCCTGTCGAAATTTTCCACGACACTACAAAAGACGTCAACAACATGGAACACGACACACCTACAAAACCAAGAAGGTTACGGTGTCCGGGCTCCGTGTTGGAGAAGAGCTACGCACCTGGCCATCTGCTCCCCTTGCCGACGATCCGGAACCCCCATTACCAAGTCATTAGTCCCGCGGCGTCTGGCAGGATAACGAAGAACCTGTGACAGAATCTGGGACAACATACTCCATAGCCATCTCTAACACCTTGTACGGGCCATTCAGCTGACAATGTAGGACCTGCAGGACGTCCATATCCATAGAGAGGGCAATGATCCTTATCCTTGTGGATCTATCAAAGTCTGCTGCGGCAGGCTGATGCGACAGGCAGGTCCACGGCTTTCAGACGATGAGCGACGGTGGGCAGAAATTATTTGCAGCAGCGAACGGTATTGTCCACGCCTGTTCGCGGTAACTCGCAATTACCAGGTCATGCGAACAGGCGGATGTCAATCCCATCTCGCCAAATCGTCTCTCTTCTATTTCAAAGACATCAAAACTTTTTCCATACATCACTGTGCACGGGGTCAAAGATTAACATCTATCACTTCAGTGGTGCATGACACCCTAAGATTTATGACTCATCTAGAATTCACATATTTCATCGCACATTCATAGAGACTCATCCCGGCATATCATGGACATGGGCGGGGCCGGTCTTGTACGTGATTTAGTATCAGGGCATTGCAGCACGCTTACGTAGATTCTCACTTTTTCATCTCTGTATTTCTGCATCATCCACGTATTCAACATTTGAACAATTTTTCTCTCTATTAAAGATAAAGGTGTTAAAGATGTTTTGATGAAATTCGTGGACCTGAACGATTGTAACCCAGCATATGAGGGTCAGGTACCTGTATACCCAATGTTTTCCACATATATAGCATGTGTGCATTCATATATTCTGACGGTACATTAAAAAGTAAGGAGGGATTTCTACGATGGAAATCAGTGAAGTTCCAGGTGACCCTGTCCCGCCCTGCGATGACAGTAGTAGGACAGACGTAAGTGCACGGTACCGTCCATCACACGTGGACAACGACGTAACGACATGGTGGGCGTTAGAGCTGGGAGATGCACTCTTAGGGGAATGTTACGGCATTGATGTGCGTTACGTACTCCTCATCCGTGAATACCATATGTAGGGCACCCTTACAATATTCAATGTAAATCTTCTAAATTAGGACTACGAACAACAGTGGGTCATTCATTATTTTGATATTTTGGCTATCGATTTAACCACCTTGGGAAAATTTTGGGAGTATGGGCCTTTGTGAGAGCTTTTGATATGTTATTTCTTCAAATTTGCCTTGATAGACTAATGATGGATGTGACGTTCCCATTATGCATCGGTATTCTCAACTCGTTATAAGTCCTTTCGGTGATTTTTCTTCATATAGAGATCACCATATACCACCTAGGAAGATGGGCTGAAATGGCGCGTGGAGGTGTCAAACTGCCGACAGACTAACTTCACACACGCCGGTCATCAATCAAAGCACGTATCGAGGCGGCACGTGGCGGAGTGTAGATCCCCCTGACGGGAAACGGTTCCGAACGACGGGTAATCATCGCTAATAATCAAGGTTCCGGATGAACTTTGTGTGGAAGAATGATGATCGAAGTGCGCCATGTCGTCTATCACGTGCGTGATGTGACAGGGAAGAGCGAAGTGTCCGAGATGAGATACCAGTGAGGACTATTGTGGATCTTCTTTGTAGCAGTTTATAATAAGGCGGTGAATTGCGATGCGTTTCAGGGCAAGACAAAAACGAAGATTTGATAAAAGTTGAGTTTCCAAACATTTTGGACATGCCACTTAACTCTCATACACATATCTCAAAATATATTTTGTCATACTTTGCTTGAGGTTCATAGATCTACCTTAACACAAGTTCGAAATTTTCCACAAAAGAAAATCTGCAATTATTATTGTGAAAACAAGTGAAACAAAATCGAAGTTTTTGAAGGAAATCTGCAATTATGATTGTAGAAACAAGAGGAACAAAATCGAAGTATTTGATGGATAGCACTTTTGCGCATGCGTAACTACATACAAAGAATGGCACAGATGAACCTCGGAACACTTTATGACATTCTCTATCGATTTTAACGAGCCCCAGGGGTAATAAAATGACATTCTTTCTAGGTCATCATACTTGCATTTCTTTGAAAGCGATACATATCTGATACACCCAGCGCGATATCTGGTTGTACGTTGTTTTAATCATCAATACTGAATTATCTGCGTGATTTATCATTCATGGAAACTTCCTAATTTGATAAAACCCAAAGTAAAATGTAAAAAGTATACGTAGACTGTAATCCTCTCGCTCGTAAAGTCCTCCACGATAAGGGCATATAGGACACCACAACGAAACTTATCTATGTACGAAGACTTGCATGAGGGACTATGATCAGAAAGATTGCTGCTATGATTCCGATTGTAATCCTACGCAAGCAACTGAAATCAATGGAATGAAGAGGGATTGCATTTTGATTAATCTGACAAGATCAGATCCTCAAGTCCAACTGAATCGAAGTTTCAAAAGCAGCCCAACTAAATCGAACTTTTAAAATCAATGCAATTTGTACAGAAGCAACGAAGTCAGCTACGATCCCATCACATCCAATAACCAGGAAAGTTCAAATATCTAACTATGCCCTTCTATGCCTAATATTAGATTGAAGCTTCCTGCTCTCCCTAATGTCTTAAAGCAATAACGGTAGGAGAAACTTGAGGAAACGAAAGGTGCTACCCTAACGAACTATTCTCGAACTTTTACAACGAACGGACTCTTACAACACCCAGGAGTACAGTTCTCAGCGTACAGGCAGGGGGAATCAATGGTTCTTTCATTAATTTTGGTACAACAGCCCCAGGATATTCCATAAATTCAATTTTTCCGCTGATCTTTCTAGCAGATATGGATTTTTCCAGCATTATATAGATAGAAAAGCTAGTGAAAGAAGACATTTACAACATAACGATCCCATAAAATAAAGATCCACTCCATGGGGGACGACAAAGCACACAACTACTGGTTTTGTATCAGAATCCCAAAAGCTAAAAGCAACTAACTTATCAGATACACGTGATATAAAGCTATATTTAATAGCATACTTTACATTTGTTGGAGGGGGTAAGGAATACAACGCAAGGCAAAAGAACTTAATGTTTATGGGGGCAGCTAATGCCATTTGGTCAAAAACACTATAGCAGGACTGTTATATAGTGTACCGGCATTTTGCCAGAAGGCCACACGACCATAAAAAAAGGCTGCTTTGCTTTACCTCTCTACTGCGCGACGTTTTGCCACAAGCCACAGGAAACGCCAGCGGTGATGTTGTTGAACGGGTGATTTGTTGCAAGCTGCCACACTAGCTGTACGTTTAATGTCACTTTACATATATCACTGCGCACCAACGACTTGAGCACGCTCCCAATGATTCCTTCGGTGAGAGTAGTGGAGATATCGCTCGTGAATTGTTGTGGGAGCTTGAAGTATGACGTCAGCTGCGGAGGCAGATAAAACTTCTGTGAATGGGAGTAAATGAATTGCGAGTTCGGCTTAAAGTCTCCTTTATATCGCTGCCAACATTTGGAACCTCCGTGGATTTTGAGCATTCAGTTCGTCACAGATGAAGAATAGTAAAAGGTGTATATATATATATAGCAGCATAGCGTCGGCAATGCCATTGCCTCTGGTAGATACATTTCTTTACCTTTCTCTGTGTATCAATTCGACTCGGCTATCTGAAATCCTATACTGGTAAAACCAACAGGTATATTGTGTTCAGCGGGCGAATTCGTCATATTCACAAGTCTAAGCTTCTCTCGACACGCAGAAGGTATCAGCGTGTCCGCAAAGAGCTAAGAAATATATATCAAACGCTTTCGACTAATCGACGCCATTAGTGACGGTAACGGTAAATGCTTGTCCGCAGACAACCGTAATATCCAATCGTCATCCCGGAATGAGTTATGCAAATATAGGCTTACAGTCAACACAAGTACGTACATACAAGAACGTTTCGGTTCCTTCTCCGCAATCCCCTACACAAGCCCACATACCTATAACAACTTGCAAACGGGGCCATGCACATACCATACATAATTCCACCGGTTCTGTGTACGTAAAACCGGATAGAGCACAAAATATTCAACTGCCGCCCGCAAACTCGCCATGACTGCACCTGTGGACAGCAAATTGGCGGAACCAATCGATACGATAGTGAAGAACGTTCATCATATTTTAGCCACAGGCAGGCTAATAACTGACATTTCAGAGTCCATCTTCGTCCCCTAACGACTTCCTCTAGTTTCGAAAAGACTGTTACGACAGGTCTAACTAACAACGTTACAGCGGTTCTATCCACTCACACAAAACAATTTCCATCGGGTGACTGACTGCACCAAAGGTCTTTCCCTAGCATACAGAGTACGCTGCCTTGTGATACATGCATTTTCCAAACCTGTCTTGTGTTGTGTTGTGTTGTAAATATATAGTTTGTGTCGTTGCATCTATTTAGTTGTTGACCTACAGTCTTGCTGCAACAATAATTCTATCGATGTTAGGCCTTTTGCTTCTAGTCTAGTCTACATTCTGTATTCAGATAGCTTTGCAGTTGCTATTGGTTCCCAGCACTATATCATTCAACAAATGCACCTCTGCTGCTCCACTGCATATAGATAAACAGTAATAAAATTATTTCATAATTACTCATATTATACTATATATTACTTATATTATATTATATTATATTATACAGTCATGTATAATATTATAGTATATCAGGCCAGTGAAGAATTGTTCTATCAGACCAAGGCGAGGCTATCCTAGATGCCAAAGTTTTTCCTCCGCCGACCAAGACTAGAGAATAGATAGGAGATGGTCAAATTGTTTATCGATCCGGGCTGTGCCCTGCTATCTGTGGCGTAGTTTATCACGATGACAGGGTTCTTCTTCGGAACATGATCCCGGCATGACCCCATCGTCACCCCGAGACATGACTGAGCCTGTCCCGGTCCTGGGAGGGCGCGGGTAAGCCCAGGGCTCAGCCCCTGTTGAATAAATCATGCCGCCCATCCTTTACCGTGCCATGGCGGTTAACCATGGAGAGTGTGTGTCGCTCCTTGGCTTCGTGATCGCCAGAGGGAAAACGGTATCTGTATAGCCGGTATAACCGCCATTCGGCGTAACATGTACCAGCTTTGTAGGCACGCATTACACCTAACTCTTTAACATCTAACTCTTAACATTGTTTAATATCTAATGATGATAATGCCACCACTGTACTTGGTGACAGTCAGTTCCACTCTGCGATAGTTCTAGGAAACAATAAGTTTATGAACACATCAATGCTTGGTTGATAGCTCTGGTACTTGAAGGCATGACTATTTCTTGTTCTTTTCTGAGCTGGTAGGGTCACTTAGTAGTTGGCACGTCCACCAGTTTATTACTAGTAGTTATTTTGTACACCATACATAGTCTGGGCATTTTTCGTCTGTCTTCCAGTGACACCCACTGTAGGTTTCTTTCCTTTTCGTGACACTAGCACCTCTTTCATAGTTGCTCATGCAGACTCTTTCAGCTTGATTCTGTACCCTTTCCAGTTTATCTTTGACTACGGTGTATCTGCAGTAAACATGAAGCGCGAGCAGCACGCAGAAATTGCGGCAGAATAAATTCTACATCCCGGTGGTTCAGTGATGCATCGTAACGGATGAACATCCTCGGGCAAATCTGGTTAAAGATCTGGAAAGTAACGCCCTACGTTGGTGTTCAAAGGAACTTCAACAAAATATATTCCAACTCCTAAGGCTTTGAAAAGACATATTACTAGAAGTTGTACAACTACAACTTTTGCCACGTAAGATCGATATCCGCTAAAACTTCATTGTGAGATGGCTCGATGTAATCCAAGCTTCTACAGGAAGATATCAAACTTTTGAATGTACAATGAGAAAAAAGCTCAGCCATTTGTTTTATTTGAGAACTGTGTAAAGCTGATAAAAGCACTATTTCACATTAGAGTACCGTGACTTATTTCTAGAATGGAACAAGAGCTGACGTGGTACGCCATCTTGTCTTCATCACAGAATATATGTCTCACAGAGGAGTTAGTGGGCCCGTTAAAGGCGTCTACCTGGCTTTAAGTATGTGAAGGTACTGAATCATCTAAAAGGGTTATGTACGTAATTGAGTTTGAGTATTCGTCTAATATTCAATGATTTATTTCGCTGCTAATAACGCGAATCTTAAGTTGTGTGTATTGGTGGCATCCTACAGTTTTGAAATGAGAGTTTTAATATCGAGAGAATTTGTCTTTTGAAAGTTAGTTCCTGCACGCAAATGATCTTTGATGGCAAACATCTACAACTAGAAAGGTAACATTTGCAAAGCAAATGCATAATGTTTACCTTCGCATATGGTCTGCTCTATCAATTCTTACTCAAAAACATTGATATATTTGGTGACAGGAGTCTAAATCCTTCCTGCTATTAAGTTGCAAGATGATGTACCCCAACACTAGTTACCATGGTGATAGACGTCTGGTTCAGGTCATTGGCCTTATTTGTTTGGAGAAGAAGGAACTGAGCAAAAACGTAACTATAGCTCCCGTAATGGTAAACATAACTATAGCTACAGTTCCTTGACACGCCGACATGTATGAATTAGCAATAATAAAACCTAGCTACAGAGGTCTCTGCGACTGAGAGTCTGCCTGA